CCCGGATATTTTTTCACTTTCTCCGGGGGGATGGTCGTAGGCGTCGTGGGCGTCGCGCGGAAGTAACGCCGGGTCGTTGGATCCAGGTTCAGGGCCAATTTCTTGTGTTCATCTTGAACAACCCCCGTGCATACGCAGAATGGTTTTTGCGTGGCTGGCGGGATTGGGTGTGAACGAATTCTTGATGTTTCGCATATCCCCACCATCCCATCCAGAAACGATGCCCAGGCGAATCGGGGTGAGCAGGGAAATGAAGGAGCAACGGGGAGGGCAGCCGTAATTGTTTGAAGGAGGATGAAGATTGATGAGGGGGGACGGGGATGGAGGACGAATAGGCTGATGAGGCGGAGGAGGAGGAGGAGGAGCAGGAGGAGTAATAGGAGGAGGAAGAGGAGGCGGAGGAGGAGGAGGAGGAGGAGGAGGAGGAGGAGGAGGAGGAGGAAAAGGATGAGGAGGGCGAGCGGAGGTGCCAGAGGCCTCTTCGAAGCCTCTCGGGGTGTCGTAGGTTATCGCCTTTGAAGTTTCTGGGAGGCCCCTTAGGGCATCTTGGGTGCCTCTTTGCGGTCACATGGGGCTTTTTGATGTATCTTTGGTGCCTCTGGGGGGGCCCTTTGGGGACTCCTGGGGGCGGTTTGGGGGCTTCTTGGGGTCGTTCTGGTGGCATTTTGGGGGTCTCTCGGGGCCTCTTGGGCGCCTCTTCGAGACATCTCGGACCCTCGTTGGAGCCTTCTTTGGGCCCTCCTGGAGTCATTTTGGGGCCATCCTGGCCCTCTCTCGGGCCCAACGCTGTAGAGCATCCGAAACAGACATTTGAGATGCCCTAATGTGGGGAGGCTCTTGAAGCTTCCGGGGATCCCCAGGACGTGTCTTGTGTTCCTCTCGGGCCCTCCTGGAGCCCTCTTAGCCCCTAGAGGCACGTCCAAATGGCGTCGGCGGCGCGGGGCTACCCCCCGCGAGTGAACCCGACAGGTCTCGCAAGACTCTCCGGCCGGGGGGGTGCAGCCACAGGGGGGAGGGCTCTGTGGCGCCGTCTTTGCGCAGGTCGACATGGCATTCGATATGATTTGAAAAACCCTGGGGTCCCCTTTGGGTCTTCTTCGGGGCTTCTTTTCAGCGTCCGCGGGGCGCGTCGGAGGCTCCTGGGGGGCCTTCTGTCCGTCGGAGGGTGCTCTTGGGCCGTGTCGCTTTCGGAGTCCATCTCGGGGGCCTCTTCTGGGTCGCTCGGACACTTCATTGGGGACCTTGAGGGCCGTCTTGAGGGCCCCCGAGGTCCGAGTCGAGGTCCTCTTGGACCCCTTTCGGGCCGTCTTGGAACCTGCTGGGGCCGCCTTGGGGCCCGCGGCGGGGCCGCTGACAGGCGGCCGCGTCTGTGCGCCACCCTACTCGGGCTCTCAGGCCTTTGCCTACAAGGCGCCTCCGGCCGCTTGGCTGCGGACGACGTTCGGCACAGCTGGGGGCGGAGTGTCCGCCCACCTAGCTGCGGCCGGCTGGCTGCAGGTGGGGCGTCCGGCCACGTAGTTGCCGCTGGCTTTCGGCCCACCTTCGCACCTCCCGCAGGTGCGTTGAAGTCGGCCCACGCTCCTGGCAGGTGAGTCGGTTAGCTCGCGCCAATTATTACCCCTTATCTTGGCCAGGCTATCTTGAGCTGCTGACTCAATTGGTCCGACAAGTGTCTTCTCTCCTGTGGGTGATATTGACGGCCCCCCTGATTTGGGCCAGCCGGTGGACGCGGGTGATGTTTTTGGCCCCCTTGCTCTGGGCCGCGGGTCGGCTTCGTGATCTAGTGGGTTGTCCGCGTCCAGATGAAGGGGGGGCTAGCAGAAGCATTGCGATCGAAGGCCCCTGAAAACTGTCCTCTTCTCGCGTGTCGCACGGCCGCTTACAAGGGGCGCTGTGGCGCTCTGGGCTCGCACAGGCGGCGTCGGTGGCGAGCGCGCGCGCGGGGCACGGCCGACCTCGCAGAGACGGTCCTGGTCGCGGCGCAACCGGGGACTCATCGGAGACTCCGCGTTGTGACAGCTGGCTGCGCGAGGTCGCTGTTGGAGCACTCGAGGGGCGATGCAGGGGCATTTTGCGACCCCCCCCCCCTGAGGGGGAGAAATCGCCGCCCCACGATGCTCGGCTTCTGTAACATGGGCGATCCTTCCCCAAATCAGGCACGTCTATGAGGATTGCCTCGCGTTGCATGGTTCTGAATGTTGCGGTGTTGGGTCATCGTTTTGAAAAGACAGCGCCCCGCGTTTTCCTCCTCTTCCCCCTCCCCCCCCTCCCCTTGCGTGCCTCTGCTCTCCGCATGTAAACCAGTTCGGCACGCCCCCGCATGCTTCGTGGCCCGATGCGGAGCTCTACCGAGGCCCCGCTGGCGGCGTTCGCACGCGTCCGCCCCGCCAAGCAGAGCGTCTCGTGGCCTCATCGGGAGCCCCGCCGAGGGCCCCAGTGGCGACGCTCGCACACGCCAGCCCCGCCCAGCGCAGCGCTTCGTGGCCCAGATGGAGCTCCACCGGAGGTCCCAGTAGCGACGTTCGCATGCGTCCAGCGTTTCGTGGCCCCATAGGGAGCTCCACCGAAGGCCCCAGTGGCGACGTTCGCATGCGTCCGCCCCGCCCAGTACAGCGTTTCGTGGGCCCATAGGGAGCTTCACCGATGGCCTCAATTCGCACGCGCCCGTCCCGCCCAGCACAGCGCTTCGTGGCCCCATAGGGAGCTCCACCGAAGGCCCCAATTGCGACGTTCGCATGCGTCCGCCCCGCCTAGTACAGCGTTTCGTGGGCCCAAAGGGAGCTCCACCGATGGCCTCAGTAGCAACGTTCGCACGCGCCCGTCCCGCCCAGCACAGCGTTTCGTGGCCTCATAGGGAGCTCTACCGAAGGCCAGAGTGGAGACGTTCGCATGCGTCCGCCCCGCCCAGTACAGCGTTTCGTGGGCCCATAGGGAGCTTCACCGATGGCCTCAATAGCAACGTTCGCACGCGCCCGTCCCGCCCAGCACAGCGTTTTGTGGCCCCATAGGGAGCTCCACCGAAGGCCCCAATGGCGACGTTCGCATGCGTCCGCCCCACCTAGTACAGCGTTTCGTGGGCCCATAGGGAGCTCCACCGAAGGCCCCAGTGGGGACGATCGCATGCGCCCGCCCCACCGTGTACAGCGTCACCGCAGGCCCAGTGGCGACGTTCGCATGCGTCCGTTCCATCCAAGGCAGCGGCTCGTGGCCCGATAAGGGGCTCACCGAAGTCCCCAATGGCGACGCTCGCATGCGTCCGCCCCACCCAGTACGGCGCTTCGTGGGCCCATCAGGAGTTCCACCGAAGGCCCCAATGGCGACGTTCGCATGCATCCGCCCCACCCAGTACGGCGCTTCGTGGGCCCATCAGGAGTTCCACCGAAGGCCCCAATTGCGACGTTCGCATGCATCCGCCGCGCCCACCACAGCGTTTCGGGGGCTCACAGGTAGCTCCACCGAAGGCCCCAATTTCATGGTTCGCATGCCCCCGCCCCGCCCATGTCGGAACAACCCTCACACGTTTCGTGGCCCCACAGAGAACCCCTCCGGGGGCCCCAGGGGCGACGTTCGCGTTCGTCCCCCCCGCCAATTTTGCCACACTCCTCACGCGTTTCGTAGCCCTGTGGCGACGGTTGTATGCGTCCCCCCTCCCGCGCATTCCGGCACACTCCTCGCACGCTTCGTGACCCCGTAGGGAGCTCCGCCGAAGGCCCTTGTGACGACTTGTGCATGGCGTCCCCGCCCCATGCAGACATGCCCCTTACACGTTTCGTGGCCCCATACGGGGATGGGTATACCGAGGGCCCCATTAGCAGCGCTCTCATGTCGGCCCCGCCCCTTTTTCAGCACATCCTTTACACGCTTCGTGGCCCCATACGGAGGTCCACCGGAGGTGATTCCCACAACGGCGACATTCACAACTACATATGGGCGAGTCCTTCGCCAGTAATTTTCTGGGACAATTTTAATGTCACGGATTGGCAGTTGCTTCTTTCGAGCATTGTACCTTCGCTTCAGGATTCAGTACGTTTTGTGAAACGCATGTTCCTTTTTCAGAGTCGTGGTCACCGTGGTCTCGGTTCAACGCCGCGCACATGTTTAAATCAGACTCTTCCAGTATAGTCAAGTCGTAGTACCATCGTTTGTGCGCGTTCAAGTCCGATTGTGTTCTGACCATGCAGGACAGTGCGGCCCCACCTTTCCATCGGGCGCCCGCCGTCGCGATACATTCGCATGGCGACATCAATGCTGTGTGCTGAGTTTGACTTGGCTTTCTTCCTCACCCTGCGTGTCGGTGACCAAGCTTTCTTTTTCTTTCTGGCAGTAAAATATCGGCCACCCAGAAAAGTCGAATCAGGAAACCTGTGCACTCGACAATGGCATTTCAGTGTGCCGGCGCAGCCCCCAATCGAATTCGGTAATCGACGTGCGTTTCACCAAATGCATTTGGTTGTTTTTGAACGTCGATTCGCTGCCCCGCCCGAGTCCACTCGTAAGGCGGTGCCGTGCGCATTCGCAGCGCTCCTGGAGGCTTTCACTAAATACTGGTGTGTTAAACGGCGTTCGGTCAGTCTTCGACTTCTGCTCTGCCTCCTGCTGCAGCTGCTGCCGCTGCTCATCCTCCGCAGGCATCTTCCTCCTGCTCCTCCTCCGAAGCCGATCCCCGGGCCAGTCCTGGAGCTCGTTCTGGCCAGGATCTCGATGGGGAATCCAGAGCCGTGGCGGCGAGTGCTCTCCAGGGGGCCTCCAAATCGCAACCAACATCAAAGTCCCTCGCCGATGAGGAAGTTTAGGGAGGCTAAGCTTAGGGAAGCGGGAGGAGGAAGAGAAAGAACGTCTGGAGAAGTAGAAGCAGCAAGAGGAACGGGCAGGATGAGGCGGAGGAGGAGGAGGAGGAGGAGGAGGAGGAGGAGGAGGAGGAGGAGGAGGAGGAGGAGGAGGAGGAGGAGGAGGAGGAGGAGGAGGAGGAGGAGGAAGGGGCCTCCCGCTGCGTTCCGCAGGCATCGCCCTTCTGCAACGCGTCCCTGGCACCGATAGTCCAGCTGCCTGGCGGCGGCCACCCGAAGTTCGAACTGCCTGACGTCTGGGCGGAGGCCTGCGCGCAGGCCCCCTGTCTTTGTCCTCCTCCTCCGCCTCCGCCGCATCCTCCTCCTCCTCCTTCGGCTACTTTTGATCCGCGGGTCGAGAGCGCACCTCTTCCGGTCGAAGCTAAGCGGGCCGCGCACAGCTTTAATTAACAGAGAGGGGAAGGCAGAAGGAGAGGCCACGTCAAGGCCAGGAGGGTGCAAAGGAACGCTACACGCAAGAGTGACCTCTCCCCAGAGTGACCTTTGGTCAGGGGCGGCTTAACCGACCCCCGGCAAACCATCCCCTTCCGTGAAGTGCCCTTCGCCTCACCCCAAGGCGTTTGTGTGCGGCCGGAGGGGAGCTTTAAAGGCGAGCCTAACGTCACGGGAGGGGATGGTTTGCTGGGGGCCGTTTCGGCCGCGCCCGATTTGGTGCAGGCACCGTGGAGTCCCCACGTGGCTGAATGCGATGCGATACATCGCAGCGGCTTCCCTGCTCGGGTTTGGCCCTCCCGCGCTCCCCGAATTCGCGCACCAAAGGTCACTCGCGCCCAGGGTCACTCTTGCCTGTAGCCGCATCTCCTTTTCCTCCTCCTCCTCCTCCGCCTCTCCTCCTCCTCCTCCTCCTCCTCCATTCCTGTGCCTTATGAATAACTTCTCCCTGTCGCACCCCGAAGCCAGTTTTTAAGGCGGTACGGGCGTTCCGCCTGAGACTTGCCCACCATTGATGATTCTGGAGCTTAGAAGTTGGCGACATTTTCACAGATGGAGGGCGGGTGGTTTTCAACATTTGGCTCTCGCCTTAGCTCGGCGCACATTCGTTTTCAACATGTGCAAGGGTTTCACGGATTGAGGGCGGGTCGTTTTCAAATTGTGGCTCTCGCCTTAGCGCGGCGCACAGTTTTTGTAAACATGTGCAAGAGTTGAACGGATTGAGGGCGGGTCGTTTTCAAAATGTGGCTCTCGCCTTAGCGCCGCGCACATTCTTTTTTGTTGTTGTTGTTGTGGTTGTGGTTGTGGTTGTGGTTGTGGTTGTGGTTGTGGTTGTTGTTGTTGTTGTTGTTGTTGTTGTTGTTGTTGTTGTTGTTGGTTGTTGTTGTTGTTGTTGTTGTTGTTGCTGCTGTTGTTGTTGTTGTTGTTGTTGTTGTTGTTGTTGTTGTTGTTGTTGTTGAACATTATTTATTCTAAAGAATAATTATTGTTGGGCCCCCTGGTGCGCGCCCCCCCTGCGCCGCCTAGGCCGCAGCTACATTTTCATCATTTTCGTGAGGAAGCCTCAGGTAAAACGATGTGATCCAGATCCGGTTGTTTTGTTGTAATCCGTTTTCCCTTGCAAAAAACACTATAAAATGACATTTCTTGTTCTAATATAATCAAATTTCAAGAATCCCTTGCAAAAAATAAGGTAAAGTGGACATTCGCGCGCGCAAGACGAAATCCTTCCAAAAGCTTAGTGTTCGGAGCGATTTTAACATAAAAACATCAAAAAACCAATGGTTTTTCAACAAAAAAATGTCAAAATCTCATCCCGCGCGCTCTTGCGGATTCGTAGGAAACCCAACACTTTTTAAACATTTCTGTCAAACGGGCTTTTGCGAGCAACTTTTTCGAACTTCTGCGACAACGGTTGCGCACCTGCCAGGGCCATCATCCCTGTCAAATAATACCATGCGGGACACATTCGTTTTTTCTTCGCGCGCGCACGCCGTCGTCGTCGGCCGCGGGGCCCTGAATAGTAGCCACGGTCGTCCGCATGCCACGAAGTGAAGTGTCCGAACGTCATAGGGCGGGAAGCTGGGTGTGGGTGGTGGCGAAGAGTCGTTTGGAAATTTGGTAGAGCTTGAACCGGCCCCCCCACAAAGTGGGGGTATTGCCCGCCTCCTATGAAAACCCCGGCACTGGTGAGAACGGAGTGTCCCCACGTGCTAGTAATTGTTGTTGTTGTTGTTGTTGTTGTTGTTGTTGTTGTTGTTGTGAAAGATGTGCGAGTTTCACGGGTTGAGGGTTGTTCCTTCTCAGCATGTGGAATGTGGTTCTTTCCTTAGCGCCGCGCACATTCGCTTACACACTTTGCACGAATTCCAAGGTTTTTCCATCATCATCGTACAAATAATTTTGTTTTGAAAGGATTCAGGATTATGCGGGGTAACAGTTACTTTGATTCGCTGTGTTGAAGTCCCAGGAATGACGTTCTGGCACGATTCAGGATCGTTAAGACGAGAAAGTCAGATTCATCCGTGCCGTTGGAATTCCCTAGAACAATGTTTTGGCACGCTTCAGGGTCCTCAAACAGTTGTCTTCGAACGAGGCAGTTCCTTCAATGGACATGAACCGTTGTAGGGGCCTGTGATGAGGGAGCTTGGAGGGAGGGTTTATTCCAACATCCTTGATGACCCTTGGGTTTACACTGGTCCTCCTCCTCCTCCTTCCCCAATGTATCTGCACTGCGTCTCACCTGGCTGCTCACACTGTCGCATCGGCAGCGCCCAACTTCCGCCCGAAGAGACCCGTGCGGACCTCCGGCAGGCTGTGCCTGTGCAGTTTTCGGTTCCACCGTCCGGGGCCTCTCCGCAGAGGCCGGGCCCCATCTTGCGCGGGCAATACTTCTGTCCATGTTTTTTGCAGCTTGGAGTTTTGGGCTCCCTTCCAAAGAAACCCGAAGGGCACGAGATATGGATAAAGATCTGCCTCCGCATACGCTCGGTTTGTTTTTCCATATCCAGTGCGCCTCGGCCTTGTGGCGCCCCTTCCGAGAAAGTCCAAGACGCACTGGGTACTGCCCCATCTCGCAGGGCACGCCCCTCCTGAGGGGCGAGCGCCACCGTCGAGTGAGAGGGAAACCACTCGGCGCTAACTTCCCCTGGCTGGCACGACTCCAACGCTGCCGCCGAGGGCACGGCAGGCTGGGTGTCCCTTCCCTTCCCTACCCGCCGCACGCCTCCCGTCTTCCGCCGTCCCCTGGTCGGTCCCTGGACGTTAACCCTTCTCGACACAGCCAAGACGCTGCCATGCAGACCGCTCGGGGTTCGAGTCGACAGGGGCCCCGGTTTTTGGGCCCTTCCCTCGGCCTGCGCCCTGGGAGCCCACTCGTGGCCGCGGCCCGCCGTGGCCAGGGAGGCCTTTGCGCTTCGTCTTCGGCGTGCCCCACGGGAGCACGATGCACGGGGCCCACAGGTGAATACACCACCGCCACCTCCCTCAGCCCCCCCCCTTCTCCCAGGAGAGCAGAGGGACGAGGAAAGTGGAGGAGGAGGCGGGGGACAGGAGGCGGTGGTGGTGCATATTGTTGGGGCCCGCCCGATGGGGGTGGCGCGCGGGCTGGGCCGCGGCCCCATCCCGCGGTGGCCGTCGCGGGAAGGGGGGCCGCAGAGGCTGGAGTTCCTCGAGCCCTGACCCAAGGGAAGGACAGCGGAACGCCCTGCAGGGCAGGGCTCCCAGGGGGCGGGGACGCCAGGCCTGCGGCGCGGTGCGCCGTGTCCTCGGGAGTCGAGGTGCGCAACACGACGGCTGCACGCAGGCCTGCGGCGCGGTGCGCCGTGGCCTCGGGACTCGAGGTGCGCAGCACGACGGCTGCACGTGAGAGGTAGAGGGGGGGGGACAGCGGAGCGCCCTGCAGGGAGGGGCTCCCAGGGGGCGGGGCGCCAGGCCTGCGGCGCGGTGCGCCGTGGCCTCGGGACGCGAGGTGCGCAGCACGACGGCTGCACGTGAGAGGTAGAGGGGGGGACAGCGGAGCGCCCTGCAGGGAGGGGCTCCCAGGGGGCGGGGACGCCAGGCCTGCGGCGCGGTGCGCCGTGGCCTCGGGACGCGAGGTGCGCAGCACGACGGCTGCACGTGAGAGGTAGAGGGGGGGGACAGCGGAGCGCCCTGCAGGGAGGGGCTCCCAGGGGGCGGGGACGCCAGGCTGCGGCGCGGTGCGCCGTGGCCTCGGGACTCGAGGTGCGCAGCACGACGGCTGCAGAGGTAGAGGGGGGGGGACAGACAGCGGACGCCCTGCAGGGAGGGGCTCCCAGGGGGCGGGGACGCCAGGCCTGCGGCGCGGTGCGCCGTGGCCTCGGGACTCGAGGTGCGCAGCACGACGGCTGCACGTGAGAGATGGAGGGGGGGGGACAGCGGAGCGCCCTGCAGGGAGGGGCTCCCAGGGGGCGGGGCGCCAGGCCTGCGGCGCGGTGCGCCGTGGCCTCGGGGGGCTCGGAGCTCTGCGCACGCGGCGGCTGCCTGGAGAGGGGGGGGGGGGGGGGAGGCCCCTGCAGAGGTAGTAGACGAGGAGGAGGAGGAGGAAGAGGAGGAGGAGGAGGAGGAGGAGGAGGAGGAGAAGGAGGAGGACGAGGACCTCGCAGGCCTCGAGGTTGACACCAGGTCGCCGCCACCGAGGGGAGAAGATCCTGGTCTCGGTGATGGTGGTAGTAGACTGGCTTCCAGGGTGGTCGAAATACAACCACCAACGCCGAAATCTAGGATCACCTTCCCCCTGCGGAGGCCCCCTCCCCCGTGTGAGTGTTGGTGCCAATGTCCAGGCCTCTAATACAAACGATCCCAAGGTGACGCACTTCCCGAACGAGACGGTGTCGGAGGGGCACAACTGGTGCTGGTCCTGGCTCAAGCACCTGGGCTGCCGGCGGTCGGAGGCCAGCCGCAGCTGGCGCGACAGCCAGGACTCGAGCAGCGGCGAAGCGTCCCGGCTTGCCTACAGGCCCACCAGCTAATGTCTTAACACATCGGGTTTAGGTTCTGAAGATAGTATCTTCACTGTTTTTGGTTTTTGTTTTCGAGCATTTTTTGGGCTCTACACAAATATCGTGGCATGCCTACGGGAATGCCGGGACGGTCGGTCCCTGCTCAAAGGACTTTGTCGCCAGGATGGACCTCGCGCCGCCGCCGGATGTCGTGGACATGCAGCCGCTGAAGGACCCCTCGGTGTGCGAGCAGTACTGGCTCGGGGGGCCCCTGAGCGTCTCGCCCCACGAGCGCGACTCCATCCAGCAGTGGTTCGCGGCGAACGTGGCGGTGTACGCGCTGGACGTCTCGCTGGACGAGGGCGCGGTGCGCGAGACGCGCGCGCGGCTGCAGGAGCTGGGCATCGAGCACACGCTGGTACCCGGGCTCGACCTGGAGAAGACGGGGAGGGGAGGGGGGGAGCGAAGAGCGGGAGGGGCAGCGGCGGCCGAGAGGGCAGGGGCGGGTCGGAGGAGGGCCCAGCCGAGACAACGGCGGCCCTCCCTGGCGTTCTCGCCCTCTTTTTGGGCCTCCTGGAGGCTTCTCGCTGCCACGGCTGGGCCCGCCTCGAAGAACTGGTCAGGATGGGCCCCGGGAGGGGTCTGGGGACCGGTTTGGAGCGGATTCGGGCCGGGCGGGAAAGCAGCCGTTGTCTCAACGGGCCCTCCTCCTGAGCTGAGACGGGGAGGGCGGGGGGAACGGGGAGTGGGGAGGGGAGGCTCATGGGACTTGTGCCGGAGGGCTTCGACCTGGAACAGGCGCAGATAGAAGCGAGCCTGCCCGACAAGTACATGAGCGACGTCTTGGCAGCCGCATCCGCTTCGGCCGCGCGCCTGCGGGCGATGCGGTTGGTGAAGACGCACAACCGCCGGCCCCTGGCGATCATCCTCGAGGGTGGCGCTATGCCGGAGGACGACTTCGCGGCGAAGGTGTTCCAGCTTCTTGTCCACGAGGCGCCTTGCGACTGGCAGGTGATCTCCCTGAAGTCCAGGTGCCCCTACGGCGTCTGTGTGGCGCCCCACCTCGCCAGGATCCTCCCCGACGGGAACGAGCCGGACGAGAGCTGCAACTACGGAACCAACCTGGGCATGCCCGCAATGCTCTGGAAGCTTGAGGGCATGCACCATGTCACAGATGCGCTGGAGGAGGCAGTCTGGCAGCATGACCAACCGCGGTGTCTCGAGACGGACGTGGCGCTGTCCTCCCTGGCCGACAGGATCGCCTACTATGCCGTGCCATCCATGCAGACGCCAGGGCTGCTGGCAGACTCCCTTCCGCAGTGGCGGCGGCGGGTTGCGGCGGCGGCGGCCTTGAAGGCCAACCTGCAGACTACCACGACGGCGACCACCTCCACCTCCACGACGAGCACGACCACGACCACGAGCAGCAGCACCAGCACGACGACCACCACGCCCACCACGGTGGACAAGATTCTGCGCGGCCAGTGGTCGCCGACCGGGGAGGGTGGGATGGACCTGCCCGCCGATGCGGCCACCGGCGGTGCGCAAAAGGGGTACTTAGGCACAAGGAGGCGGCCTTCTTAGATGGCAGGAGTGCTTCTCATAAGGCACTGCTTTTCTCCAAGAGGCCTTCTGGAGAACCCTCACATTTCCTGTGCAATCAGCCTCAGCCGGAGGAGCTGGGGCCCAATGGCGTGGGCACCCCAGCTGCCTTGATGCGATCCGCACCCCGGGGGGCAGGAACTCAGCTCTTCTAGTTTTGGCTGGTCGTCCACAGGAGGGCATCTATACGGCTGTACCCCGCTGCGTCTGTCCAGGCAAATCCTGAGCCATAGGGTGGTGTACGTCCCGTCGTGGCCTCGGCCGAGGGGGCGCAGTCACCATGCCAGGGCCCAGGCTGGCCATGGTTGGGCCGGTGGTGGAGTACATCTGCTTTCTGCGCGTGGCCGCCACTGGCCGGCTCCAAGAAACACCCTTTTGTTATCGGATGGCGCGAAAAGAAAGTAACGACCGGATCTTATAGGTCTTACGTGTCTGCTGCCTTTCGCGGAGGCCAGATCGATCCGCGCGGGGCCGTGGTGGCCCGACGCCGAGCGAAGACGCCCCGTCTTTGACCCCAGGGCCTGCCTTCTCAGAGTTCCGCCCCGGCTTCGCCGCTGCCTTGAGATGATCTTTAAAACACTGAGGGCGTTGTTGTTGTTGCTGCTGGTGCTCTTGGATTCTCATCCTTGCACAGTTTCTGTTGATCACCCATCACCGGTGCACACTGTGTCTCGTCACTTGAAGTGCCCCTCTCGGGGCTCGCGCACCCATATTTTTTGTCATTAAAAATTGTCCTGCTCAAATTGCGTTTTTGGGCCCCGGACTACAAAAACAACGGCTCCCGCCTGATACTTCCTCAGAGTGGACAATGTATTAGAACATCGAGCTTTCGCGCGGGACTTCTTCACGATTTATGCAGGAATCGCGCTCTCGCGTCTTCCTCGTATTTTTTTCAAACGCCGCGCCCTCGACACTCAGGAATCACGCTCTCGGTTTGGCCTTCCTTGCGATTTACTTGGGCGTGGCGCTATCGCTCGAGACTTCCTCACGGTTCGTGCTCGACTTGGCCACCTGGGCCCGCCTTCCCGACCCGCCCGTTAGGGTTCTACCAACCCGATCTGCCTGTCTGATTCTGCCATGTGTTTTCTGATCTTAGCCCCCCTCCTGCCAATTTTCCTCGTGCTCCATCCTCCTCCCTTCCCCTTCCATCCGTCCTCTCTTTCCTTGTTTTAGGGGCTGCACCCAAGGGGTGCACGTGGCAAGTAACGAAGATATGCCCCAAAGGGGTGCACGATCGAAGACGAATAGAGCGGGTATCGAGGTTTTGTGACATGCGCGCAAGCGGCTCGCGAGCAGATAGAAAAGAGCAGTCTTGAAATGATTGTTGAACCGCCCTTTCTTCAGAACAATTGTTGATGCTCCTCGGCGCACGTTGTATTTTTCAGATTGAATTGCCCCCCGCGGGGCTCGCACCTGGTTTTTTGTCACGGAAAGTCTTGAGGGTCAAATTGGACCCCTTGGCCCCCGAATTGCAACAACAACGGTTTCTGCCTGATATATCTTCATGAGTTATTCCAACATCGCGTTTTCGCGCGGGACTCTCATAATGTATGCAAGATTCGCGCTCTCGCGTGGGACTTCCTCACAATTTGTTCAGACGCCGCGCCCCCGACACTCAGGAATCACCCTTTCGCTTATGTCTTGTTCACGATTCGCTTGAGAATCGCGCCATCTCTCGAGAATTCATCGCGCTTCATGCAGGACTCACGCTTCAGCAACCCGCCTGCTCGACCTGGCCGCCTGGGCCCAACTTCCGACCAGCCCGCTATGTGTCTGCCCGTCCGGTCTGCACGTCTGGTTCTGCCATGTTTTTCTGCTCCAAGCCCCCCTCCTGCTAATTTCTCTCGTGCTCCATCCTGTTCCCTCCCCCTTCCATCTGTCCTCTCTTCCCCTGTTTTAGGTGCTGCGCTACATGCGCGTGGCAGGTAACGAAGATATACTCTTGAGGAGGTGCGATCGAAGACGAAGAGGGCGAGTACCGAGGATGTGGGATAGACGTGTTGAATGGCACCCGAGCAGATCATAGCGAGCAGTCTTACATGCCTTCTTGTTGGAGTTGTTGTTGTTGTTGTTGTCGTTGTTGAGTTCTCATTTCAGGAGAAGATGTATTGCTGATCACCCCCTCTTGTAACCACTGTATTTGTCAATTGAAGTGCCCCCCTCGGGGCTCGCACTCTGTTATTTTAATCAGGGATAGCTTGGTGCCACCGAACTGTGTTGTTTGGCCCTGACCTACAACAACGGCTCCCGCCTGACACTTCCTCACAATGTCTTCCACTATTGCGCTCTTGCGCGGGACTTTCTTGCAAACGATGCAGATATCGCGCTCTCGCGTGGGATTTTTGTTACGATGTATTCACGCATCGCGCCCTCGACAGTCAGGAGTCACGCTCTCGTGTTGGCCTTTGTCACGATTTACTTGGGAATCGCGCTAATGCTCGAGCTCTCCTCGCAATTTATTCAGTATTCACGCTTCAGCAGCACGCCTTCTCGACCTAGCCGCTGGGTTCCGCCTTCCCAGCCAGGTTGGGAAGGTGGAACCCAGGGGTAGAACCTAACGAACAGGTCCTGTTCGTTAGGTTCTACCCGCCCGATGGGCCCGCCTGGTTCTGCCACGTGTTTTCTTCTCCCAGCCTCCCTCCTGCTAATCCAGTGCTCCATCCTTTTCCCTTCCCCTTCCATCCGTCCTCTCTTCCCGTGTTTCGGAGGCTGCACCAATTGCACGCCGCAGGTCAGGAAGATTTACCCCCAGGGGGGTACGATTGAAGACAAGAGGGCGGTTACAAAGGGTCTGGGATATTACCATTGATTTGCACACGATCAGGTAAGACGGAACAGTATTTGAATGCTTATTGTTGCTGTTTTGATTGTCATGGTTGTTATGGTTGGTGCTGTTGTTGTTGCTGTTGCTGTTGTTGTTGTTGTTGTTGTTGTTGTTGCTTTCTCATTTCTAGAGCATGAGTGTTGTTGGCCCCTCCCGTTGACCTTATCATTTTTCAGTTAAGGTGCTCCTCCCGGGGCTCGTATCCAGTTTCTTATAAAAAGGGAAAGTTCGTTTGTGGTCACCAAATTGCGCCCCTGCCCCCCCGTTTGCAGCAACAACGGCTCCCGTCTGATACCTCCTCATATTGTATTCCCACATCTCGCTCGCTCGCGGGACTTCCGCACAGGTGATGCAGGAATCGCGCTCTCGCGTGGGACATCCTCGCAATTTATTCAGGCGCCGCGCCCTCGACATTCAGGAATCGTCACGAGTTACTTGGGAATCACGTTATCGCTCGAGCTTTCCTCGCGAGTCATGCAGAACGCACGCTTCAGCATCCCGCCTGCTCGACCTGGCCGCCTGGGCCCGCCTTCCAGACCCGCCCGCTATTGTCTGCCCCCCCGGTCTGCCCGTCTGCTTCCGCCACGTGTTTTCTGCTCCTAGACCCTTCTTGAGAATTCCGAACTCCACCGTCTCCCTCCCCCCTCCATCCGTCTTCGTTTCCCCAGTTCCAGGGGCTGCACCAAGTACGCGCGGCAGGTAAAGAAAGATATACCCCCAGAGGGGGTACGATCGAAGACAGTGGGGCGGGTTGGGCTCTTGTGGTGGTGGTGGTGATGGTGAGTTGTGGTGGTGGTGGTTGTGGTGGTGGCTGTGGTGGCGGTGGTGGTGGTTGTGTGGTGGGTTGGTGGTGATGGTGGTGGTGGGTTGAGGCGGTGGTGGTGGTGGTAGTGGTGGTGGTGGTGGTACTAGTGGTGGTTATCGTCGCTGCGTCCCCGCCGTCGCCGGCGCCAGCGCCGTCGCTGCTGGCCGCCGCCAGCGCCGACGCCAGCGCTAGGAAGGGGGGGTTGAACCCCCCCCCTCTCGGCGCCGCCAGGGGGTGGGGGGGGGTTGAATCCCCCCCCCCCCTGGGGCTGCCTCTGGTCATCGTCGCTGCGTCCCCGCCGTCGGCGATTCTGGCGGCCGCCGGCGCCCGCGCCGGGGGGGGGGCTTCGGGAGGGGAGGGGTTTGGGGGGGAAGGGAAATCCCCTCTGATTTTGATCGACGGCGCCGAGTGTTGGGGGGGGGCCACCCCCCCGTTCGAGACGCGCCGCCGAATGTTCCCAAGGCAAGCGCCCGTGAAACGCTTGCTCTCCTTTCTTGCAATGATTGTTGCTTTTGTATTCACGGATGGATTTGTGTCGGTTTTGGGCGCATTTCTTGTCGCGATTCCAGGTCTGGGATCGGCCGGTCCGTCGCCCACCTAATTGTTTCTTTTTCTTTTGCGTTTTTGAATGCGCACCCGGGTCTCGCAACTCCGTCTGTCTGATGTTTCATTACAGGGGTGCAGTTTTTTTTAGTATCGTTTTTGTGGAGTCGAGGGCGAAATATGGAAACTGATCCAAAAACGCCTCCAGCGCTCTTTATTGAGAACTTCTGCCCAGACATCCGACGATCAATTTTTCAGTGCGCGGCCCTGGCGGACCCGACCCCTTTCCCTGGGGTAAGACTTCGCCCGGGGTCCATGTTTGATGTCCTGGGGCCCAGAAGCCGGGCTTGGGCAGAGCAAACCATATGTTTTATGTCGCAGCGCGGCCGAGGCAGTCTGCACGCACGCTCGGGCAAGCCCGGAGACTGCATTGCGAATCGCCCAGATGCAAGAGGGAGGGAAGGGGGAAGAGGAGCGGCCGCGGGGGGGGAGAGGGGCCGAGAGCGCTCACGAAGCGGCGCTCACGCAGCGGGGCGCCCGGGGCGGCCAAGCCAGTGCAGCACCCCTGGCAGCGGGCGCGGAGCGGCGTCGCATCCGCAAACCACCCTGCGGTGAAAACGACCAGAGGCCACATCCAACGGGCGCAAACATCGCAGCCGCAGCGCCCTCTCTCGAGAACCGGTAGAAGGCACTTCGCTACTCGTGTGGGCAGGGCGGGGGTTCGATCCACCTCGAGAGAGCGGGCCCCAGAGGCCGAAATCGAGGAAGCACGTCTGGACTGAAGAGGGCCACGCCGTCGGAGACCCGGGTGCGCCCCCGCTCCCGCACCGCCCAGGCCAGCCTCGGCGCTCCCGACGGCGAATACGGCGAGCCCGCCCCCAACGACAGCGCCTCGCCGGCGCCAGCGCCGCGGGTCGGTTCGCTGGGCGGCTCTCGGTCTTGACAAGCAAATGGCTGGAGGCCGTTTTCCTGAAGATTCTGGCAAGCTTATTTGCTTTGAGGGGGGGTGTCGGCCGTGCGCTGTTCGGGAAGGCGGCGGACACGGGGGGGGAGAATGCCGAGCAAGCAAGCTTGCCAAAATCTCATTTGAAAGAAAACAACCTCGTGCACAGCTGCCGGTCTCTTTTGCGTTTCTCGTCCTTTTGGGGCCTCCTGGAGCTCCTCGTTGCCACGGCTGGATCCACCTCGAAAAAGGGGTCGGCGGTCCCTGGGAGGGATCGGTGGACAGATTTTTCTCTTGTTTGGTTCGTGAAGTGGACAAACGAATCCTTCGCGTAAAGGAACAATCGCGACGGGATGTTTCTGGTAGTTTTCTGGGGCCCTCACCACTCCTGTGCACCCTCAGAAAAAGGCGCGAAAAGCCAGTCCCACGGTAGAGGTTCAGACTTCCGGGGATACACATTTTCGAAACAAATCACGACCTCGGAGTTCGGGGAGCGACATCACCACACCAGGAAGTTGGATGTACATGACGCGGTCTGCTTGGGCCAGAGCTGGCGATACACACGTGGCCAGATGCCTCTCCGGCGCACGGCGCTTCTGTGACCAGCCATGGTGACAGGTGCAGCCATCAGGTGGCCCCCACATGCCCCGCGCGTGAAATCTGGCCGTGTGTGATTGCAGTGTCCTGTGGAGCTTTCCGGCGCCGATCCCAGACATCCCGGCCGGCCGCAGAAAGCCTGTGCTTGCGCGGGCATGCCTTGCTTGTTCCCCCAGGCTCGCCCAGCCCAGGCCCCGCGCCGGAAGGTCGGAGGGCGTCGGCTGTCACACGCCCGTCGGTGGTTCCAAGATGGGGTCCTGAGGGATGGGGTGCTGAGGACGAGGTGCCTCAAACAGCGCCAGTGCGCCCTTGGATCCCTCCCTGCCCTGAGGACCATCCCTCGGGGCCCTTTCTGACTGAACCACCGCGGACCAGCCTGTTCAGGCCGGCCCCGGGCCCGGGATCCGCGTGCACGTGCCTCCTTGTGCCAGGGCCTGGCATCGCTCGGACGTGTGCATTTTTTCTCGGCGAGAACCATCGAGGACCATCCTTGATCATTTGGCGAAAAAACCACGCACGAAACCGACAAAAAGGCACAGGGAATGGACGTCCGAGCGATGGCGAGAGGGGCGGCAGGGCGCAGGCACCGCACCGAGCCCGGGCCCAGGCCGGCCACAGGACTGGTGCGGGGGCACGGCCGGCGTCCTCCCGAGGAGGGGCGGCGGCGCCGCCGGAGGCCCGATGGGGGCGAGAAATGCGGCGCCGTCGCAGCGCGTTCTTTCTGCGGTCTTCGCGATAGCTCCGCCGCGAGGATGTATACACAGACCCCCGCCGACGAATCCTGCCTGTACCTTCAGGGAGGGTGGCGGTATATAAAGTCGCTGGCTCCGTGCTGATGTATGTATATATGTATATATACATATATACATAGATATACACACACATATATATATATATATATATATATATACACATGTGTGTGTATATATATATATATATATATATAGATTCCTCTTCCTATATTTTTGGAAGCCCGGGCGGGGGGAAAACCCGTCCCCCCCCAAGACCGGACTCCCGGGATCTGGGGCTTTGGGACCCTCCAGACGGGCCTCGAAGCGGCCACCGGGCCTCACATGGCGTTTTGCCAAGCCTTCCCAGCACACCTAGGGCGATCAGGGGGGTCATCGGAGACGTCCCAGAGACCCCCAAGACAGCACAAGAGCGCTCCAAGAGTGACCGACGTGACCTCAAGATGGCCCAAGAGGCCTCCAGGACGGCCCCAAAGAGGCCTCCAAGAGCACTCCCAAGAAGGCCCCCCGAGGCAAAAATCAATGATTTTGGGTGAATTTTAGGGTTCTCCTCTTTTCGGCTTCCCGACGCTCCAAGACGGCAGTCTTCTGGGCGTCCGAAGCCGCCTGGGAGGCTCCAAAATCGCCCCACAACCATCCGAAAGGGCTTCCAGAAAGTCCAAGAGAGCCCCAAAACGGCACAACACTGGTCCAAGATGGCCCTCAGAGAGCCCCGTGGCGGCCCAAGATGGCCCACAGACACCCTCCGAATAATTCCAAATCGTGATTCGGTCGTTCAGGGAGACCGCGGTTGGAGGCAGGGTGGCCCGAGGAAGCCCCCGGAGGCCCCCAGAGTACGCCCAGGAGGTCTCCAGAAGGCCTTAGGAAAGCCTGAAACAACTTTTGTGAGGCCCCTAGAGGCTCTCCAAGGAGGAGCCTCCGCAGAAAAGGGCTGAGGAGGATGGGGAGAATGCGCAGGGCATGGCGAAAACAAGGAAAACGAAGCATGGAGGAAGGATAACGAAAAACATTATTATAGCGGCGATGCCAGAAAAGGCAACCAGGAGTTATCGCTAAATTGTCGGCTGGACCTTCCTGCTACTCCGCCTGCATACCAAACTTCAAGGTTCTTGGGGGTCGCATGAGGGTCTATTGGGCCGTCTTGGGGGCCTCTTGGGCCCCCCTTGGGCCCCTCTGGGGCCTTCTTGGGCTCCTCTTGGGCCGTCTCGGGGCGATCCTGGAGGCCTCTTGGGCAGTCTTGGCGGTCCCGACGGTTGAGAGCGCGAGAATCTCAGAATCCGAAGGGCCCCTCGGAGCCGTCCTGTGGCGTCTTGGTGGCCTATGGGGCCGTCTTGGGAGCATCGTAGGCCGTCTGAGGGCGGTCTTGGGCCATCTCGGGGCTGTCTTTGGTCGCCTCGGGGCCTCTTTGGGCCGTGTCGGGGAGCCGGGGGCCCACGCAAACCTACAAAGCTCCTCACGGATTTATGTGAATGGATGTACGCCGCGATCCTCCCCTGAGGCCCAGGAACAAGCCAGTGGAGGGTGTCTGTGTGTATACATGGATGTGTGGCGGAATGACGGCCGCTACCGGAAATGCTTCCCCCCTCCCCCCCCCCCACCCGGCAATGCCACGATTCCCGCCAGCGCGGTAATGGGAATGGCTATAGTGGTAGTAATCCCAGACGACGCTGGCGCGAATCGTGACGTTACAGGCCTCCCCCCCTCCCGGCAGCACCCGTTAGGGGGGCGTCGGGTCTGGGTGTGCAGGCGCTCTGCCGCGGGGGGCGGTGGCGTCGCAGGGGCGCACGGTCCGAGGAGCACTCGTCTTCGGAGGTCCCTCCGGATTTCCCCGCATTGGCCCGCAGGCACGTGGGAAAAAACACACTGTGGGAAAAAAACACACAGAGTGTTTTTTTTCCCACAGACGTGTGTGTCTTTCCCACAGAGTGTGTTTTTTCCCACAGGTCCCTCCGGATTCCCCCGCATTGGCCCGCAGGTACCCGGGGTCCAGCGCACGCGGGGCTCAGGCAGAGCGCCAGATCCTGCATGCAGGAGTCTGCCATGCCGGATTGTGGCCGAGCCGGGTTCGGGAGCTGCTCGCGGCCCTGTAGAGTACAGAGGTGGCCTTCGAGATCTGGCCGAGCTGGGCTTGGGACCCCCCAAGAGAGAGAGAGTGCGGCGCAGTTTTTACCAAATTGGATGAGCTGGGGTTGCGCTGATCCGGGTCAGTCCACGCCCGGCCTCGAGGCGGTGCTGGACCCCTCGAAAGGGGGATCGACTACAGAATTGATTTACCCCGGAATGGATTTTCGCGTCGACTCTTCAACAAAAATACATACGTCAACCATTCGTAGATCTGCGAAAGTTCTACGAGCTGCACGTGGATTCGACAAAAAACATTGATTCTGGGGCAAATCAATTCTGTCGTCGATCCCCTACTCGAACCCCTCTCCCCACAGAAGCGCGCCGGGGGTGGCGCCAGAGGTGCCGCGAGGTGTGCGGGACATGGGGGACCGTCGCCGATCCAAGAAAAACCGGACAGACCTCCGAGCGTTTATGTCCTCGGTGTTTCTTGCCATGATGGCAGCGCTGGGCTGGGCGAGCCGGTGTCGGTGCCGATGCCGATGCCGATGCCCTTCCCTCGTCAGGAGCGAGAGAAGGACGTACGCGTACATGAATCCACGCTGGTTACGTTCGCAGTGCGTGAATGTTCCATCACGTGGCCGGTCTCGCGGGTCAAGGGGCCGTGTTCATGTATATAGCTGGGCGCGTACGTCCTTTGTGGGCTCTGGCCTCTGGTGGCCCTCGTCGCAACAGCTGGATTCGCCTGAATATCATGGTTAGGGCGCGCCCAGGGAGAGGGGGCTCTAAATGGCAGTTCGAGTTCCCCTCTTGGGCCTCTCCTGAGGGCCGCGTGGAAGCTTCTTTGGCCCCGTTTCGGAGCCTCGAGCGGGTCTTTGGGGCGTCTTGGTCTGTCATGGACTCCCTCCACACCAAACGGTCTAGCATGTAAAAGTAATGCAGGGCCTCTTGGTCCGTCTTGGACGCAACTGCCGAGCATGCGAAAGTCAATCAACATCATGATATTGGAGAAAAGCTCCATTCATAGTCTTTTTAGGGCTATAGGGCTCTAGGGCTACTAGGGCTACTAGTGCTATAGGGCTATAGGGCTATAGGGCTATATAGGGCTGTAAGGCTGTAAGGCTATAGGGCTATCGGGCTACAGGGCTACCAGGCACCTGGGCACCCGGGCACCGGGCACCCGGGCACCTGGGCACCCGGGCTACTCGGGCTACCGGGCACCAGGGCACCCGGGCGTGCCGCCGAAATCGGCGCCACAGCTAACCTAACCATTGGGGAATATACCCGGTTCGATGATTTTCGCCTCTTGGGCCAGCCCCCGGGGTCTCCCAGAAGGCCCAACATGCCCTGAAGAGAGCACCACGACGGCCTTGTTGGGGCGATCCTTAGGACGGGCACGTGGGATCTGTGGACTCCAAACCACGCGCCCGATGCCCCAGGCAAAGTCACGCGGGGCCCCCCGAAAAACGCCAAGGAACCTCCAAGATTTTTCCGGAATCTGGGGCTTGAGGCCCTTAGAGAGCATATGCAAATTTCAAAGCTGACACCCCGAAGGGACCTCAGGACACTCGGTTCAGTGCCTCGAGGCACGGTGGCGGATCTGCCCCAGAGCGGTCCCCGCCAAGCGACGGTCGAGAGCAGAAGTGAGCGCAGTCTCTTTCTCTCCTCCTGCTCCCCAGTTGTTCATTTCAGAACGTTTGGTTTCGGAGCATCCGGCTGTACCACTGAAGCCCTGGGGCCTCGAAAGGGGCCCCAGTTGGCCCAAGCTCAGAGAGCGGGTCGTCCTTCATTCACGTCGCAGGGCCCCAGAGCTCGGCTGTTTGGTCGCAAGCTGGTCAAGGGGCTGGACGCTCGGGACGAGCAGAGCTCATCTGAAAGCCCCCCGGCGAGGCGCCGCTGCCGGAAAACAGCCCAGGGCTCGACAGCCTCCCGCCTGAACGCCTCCGAGAGCTCCCGAAGACCTCCGGGAGCTCTGGGGCGCAGTCCGAGGGTTGCAGTCCCGCCGGGCGAGGTGCGGGTGCACGCCAAGGCCTCCTGGGAGCCGGGCGGGCCCTGGCGGCTGGTCAGCAAGGGCCACTTCTGCCCAAGCCACCGCAAGCACCTGAACGTCGAGGCTGGCACGACCAGCGTGGCGCAGTGCCAGGCCACCAGGGCGTCGGATGGGAGGTGGAGGGAGGGGGGAGAGAGAGGGGGGGAGGAGCAGAAGGAACAAGAGGATGTGGGAGGAAGGAGGAGCAGTAATTAGGGAGGAATGAGGAGCAGGAGGGAGGGATGAGGAGCACAGAAGGAGGTGGAGGAGGAGGTGGAGGAGGAGGAGGAGGTGGAGGAGGAGGAGGTGGAGGAGGAGGAGGAGGAAGTGGAGGGGGAGCAAAGGTGTCCGCGGTGCGCTCTGTTCGGCTGCGTCGCAGTCGGCTGCACTCGGTTCGTTCGGTCAGGTCGGCCATGGCGATGACTATGACGACGACGTCGCCGACGCCGACGCTGACGCCGACGCCGACGCCGCCGCCGCCGCCGCCGCCGACGACGACGACCGGCGCGTCGTCCTGACGATGAAGTTGATGACGTTGATGATGATGATGATGATGATGATGATGATGATGATGATGATGATGATGATGATGATGATGATGATGATGATGATGATGATGATGATGATGATGATGATGATGATGATGATGATGATGATGATGATGATGGTGGTGGTGGTGGTGATGATGATGATTATGATGATGTGAGTTTAACCCAGTGGCTCAGACGGTGCATGTCTGGGGAAGCGCCCACAGCGGTCGTCAACTCGGCCCCAAGTTTACGTTCGCTTAGGCAAAAGCAGTCGACAATTCAACTCTAACACTGCGTTCGAGAAGACGAGAGGAGTCGGCAACTAGGCCCCCAGACTTTCTTCGTCAAGACCGAGTTCGTTTTCTAGACATCAGCTTGGCCCCGACGCTTTGTTCGTCAAGATAGAGGGGGCAGCGAGTTGTCCGTCAAGGGTTAGGTTCGGCAGTTATATTACAGGAGGTCAATCGAGAAAACCAGCCGAAATCATAGAAAAATCTTCAGCAGGAAACTCAACCTCTCCAAAAACTTCAAAAGCAACTCTTAACCAAAACCTGCGGAACTCTCAAACTCTAAAAAACTTTACAACCTCTCTCTCTAAGCCAACACCTGCGAACATCTCAAACTCTACAAGCACGTAACAACAAACTCTAAGCCAACACCTGCGAAAATCTCAAACTCTAAAAAACTTCCAAACCAACTCAGAACCAACACCTGCGATATTCTAAGCCGGAGTTTGCATTTAGAGTTTTTGGAGTTTGTCTTAGGTTTTTGTTCAGTTCGCCAGGCGGTCAGAAATGTCTTTAGAGTTTTTCTAGTTGTTGCTTGTACAACACAAGCTCTGTTAGACTTGTAAAGGTTTTTTATACAAGTGTTTAGGCGTTTCGAGTTGTTTAGAGATGTTTGAGAGTTGTTTTGAGTTTCTAGGCGTTTAGATATGTTTTTAGTTGTTTTAAAGTGTCTAAGAGTTTTAAAGTTTTGTCAGAGTCCGATTGCAAGTTTTTTTAGGTTTGATATTTCCCCAGGTTTCGGCTTAGACATCTCTTGCAGTTTTTTAGAGTTTGAGGTGTTCGTAGGTTTTTGTTTAGAGATGTTTTGAAGTTTTTTTAGGGTCTGAGATGTTCGCAGGTTTTGGCTTAGAGTTGTTTTACAGTTTTTTAGAGTCTGATATTTCCGCAGGTTTTGGTTTAGAGATTGTTGGAAGTTTTTTGTTTTAAGAGTCTGAGGTTTCCGCAGGTTTTGGCTTAGAGTTTGTTTGACTTTTTTTTGAGTTTTAGTTTTGTCGCCCGATGTGGCGGTGGACCGCCTGCAGTCGCTGCTGCCGAACCTAAGCCAAGGGGGTTCATCAACCCGGAGGGAGGCCGTCACGGGGGCTTGCCACCCCAGAGGGAGGCCGTCGAGGGGGTTCGCCAAGGGGGTTCGTCAACTCGGAGGGAGGCCGTCAAGGGCGTTCGTCAATTCCGAGAGAGGCCGCCCATGGGGGTTCGTCAATTGGGGGTTCGTCAATGTGGGGTTCGTCAATTCGAAAGGAGGCCGTCAAGTGGGTTCGTCAATGGGGGTTCGTCAATTCGAAAGGAGGCCGTCCAGTGGGTTCAACTCGGAGTCGACGGCCAAATCCTTTCATCAAGGTGGATTTGACGGCCAAATCCTTTCACCGAGATGGAATTGACGGCTCAAGCGCCAGATAGGGTATGCATGGTCATCCGTCGCGGCGTCCAGGCCCATCTCCAGACCTGCCACCCGCGACAGACTCAAGTGATGATGATGGTGATAGTGATGATGATAATGATGATGATGATGATGATGATGATGCTGCTGCTTCTGATTATGTTGATGGTGAAGATGGGGATAAGGATGATGATGAACATGACGAAACTGACGATGAAACTGATAACGATGATTATGATGATTATGATGATGGTGGTGATGATGACGATGACGATGACGATGCCGATGAGGATGATGATGATGAAGACGACGATGATGGTGATTGTGGTGGTGGTGATGATGCTGGTGGTGGTTATGATTATGCTGGTGCTGGTGATGCAGATCATGATGAATGTAATGATGATGATGATGATGATGATGATGATGATGATGATGATGATGATGATGATGATGATGTTGATGCTGCTGATGATGATGATGATGATGATGGTGATGGTGATGATGATGATGATGATGATGATGATGATGATGATGATGATGATGATGATGATGATGGCCACGGTGATGGTAATTAAAATGATGTTGAGTATGCAGGGGAGGACGAGGTGTTGTTGGAGGAGAGGGAGGAGAAGGAGGAGGAGGAGGAGGAGGAGGAGGACTGAAGGGCTGTGCTTGGATATGACATGCAGTGAACCAACCAGGCGTAAGTTTGCGTGATATTGCATGCCGCGTTCATTGTCGAATGCATCGCGTTGTTCCCGCCTCCACCTCTGGCTCTGGCGCTAGCTCCACATCCATCTCCGCCACCTCGTCGTGTCCCCCCCGACTTTTTGCAACCGATGGACAGATGGATGGCGAACCTGCTTTAAAATGGGACTCGCCGTGGTCACGCGCATACTTGTGTCAAAACGTCCGTGGATGGGGGGCGGCTGATTTTCACAATGAGACTCTCGCCTTGGCACCGCTCGTGTGAAAAACTCAACAATTGCGTGGATGGAGCGGCGTTCCTTTTTAAGTTGGGGCTCTCGCCTGAAGTTTCCCAAACACTTGTTGCCACACGTGCCGCATGTAGTGGCAGTTGCACGAATGGGCGATGGCTCCTTCTCAAAATCGGGCTCCCGCTTGACATTTCCTCAGGTTTGAGACCAGGAATATGTCCAGCTGCCTCCATTAATTCCACCACCATGCCAGCGTAGCATTCTGGGTGGTATCTATTGGAGAAGGCAAAGGGGGCCTGCTGGGGGCCTCTTGGGGCAGAAGGCTCGAGTTCTTGGTCCGCGTTCCCACAATTTGGCCTTTCTCGGTGGCTGTCTTGGGGCCCTTTCGGGCAGTCTTGGGCGTCTCTTGGACCGTCTTGGGGCCCTCGTGGGCCGTTTGTGGCCCCCCTGGGGAGCTCTTGTAGGACACCTCGGCGGCCTCGTGGGCCGTCTTGAGGCGATCTTGGGCCGCCTTGAGGCCAGAGTGGCCCGTCCTGGAGCGAGATTGGGCAGTCTTGGAGGCCTCTTGGCACCCGGAGCACGAACCTGTCGCATGTTGCGAGGACTTGTGTCCTCGGGGAGAGGGGGTGGTGCAAGCAGGTGGGTGCTTCCCGACGGGGCGTGGGTGTAGCCCTTGGAGCATGCCAGAATCATTACTAGACAGTGCTTCTAGCACGCCCCAGCGTGCCAGGTGGCGCGGTGGCGGACTGTTGTGCAACAGCTACACGAATTGAGGGCTGCCCATTTTCAAAGCGGGGTTGCCCGTTGGCATTTCCTTGACCACCTTGCCGCATTCATTGTAGTTCGGATGGTTGAGGTTAGCTTATTTGAGCCCCGATCTCCCGCCTGAACTGTTTGAGCCAATGGGGCGTTCGTCTTTCATGGTTGGTGCTTCGCTCAGTGAACAGGAGTTCCTGCAAGGACTACCTAACGAGGAGGGGACTTGGGACGGGAGGATGTATTGCAGTATCGTTGATTGCTCTGGTCCTCCTCCGCCTCCTCTTTCTCTTCCTCTTCCTCCTCCTTCTCCTCCTCCTCCTCCTGCTCCTGCTTCCTATCCCGCTCTGCTGTTTCCCTCTTCGCTCCACCGCCGTCTCTTGTACTTTCCTGCTTCTGCTACAGCTGCTCCCACATGGAGAACGAGGAAGACGAGACAAAGTATAGAGAGACAGGTGCGGAGCAGCAAAGCAGAGACGTTGTCAATGACAAGCGATGTGTTAACGGCAGTGGTGATACTGATGATGCTAACCATGACGACGATGTTAATGATGATGCTGATGTTGTTGATGATGATGCTGATTATGGAATCATGATGTTGATGCTGATGCGGATAGTGATCATGGTGTTGTTGATGCTGATAATGACGATTCGGAGGAGGAGGAGGAGGAGGAGGAGAAGGAGGAGGAGGAGGACCAGTGCAAATCCAGGACGCATCAGCGATGTTGCACGAGACTCTCCCTGCATGTTTTGCTCGTAAGGGGTCCCTGCAATCATGTTTTTGTCAGTGCGGGAAGTGCCCCTTTGAAAGACAAATGTCTGATAATCCTCAAGCGTTCCAAAGCAGCATTCCTGGGACTTCAACTCGGCAAATCAATGTGACCGTCGCGCCCTGACACTCCGAAACCGCGCGGTAACGCCATTCCTGGGACTGTAACCCGGTGAATTGACATGTTTGTTGCGTCCTGACAGTCCCAAATCGTGCCAGAACGTTTCTCCTTCATTGAACCAGTTGTGAACTTCTAAGACGAATGTGCGCGGCGCGCGGCACCAAGTCGGGAGCCACATTATGAACACCACCCGCCCTCCATCCTTGAAGTTGCTGCGAATTTCTAAGACGAATGGGCGCGGTGCTAAGGCGAGAGCCACATGATGGAAACCACCCACCCTCCATCACTGAACTTGTT